CCCTCTGAGGTTTGACAGTCTGGTAGATGCTTCTCTGTCTCTGGATCTGTTTTGTTCATGAGTTTATGTTGTTCATTATATTCCACAAATGAGTGAGATCATGTGATATTTATCTTTCTCTGACTGGCTTATTTCGCTTAGTATAATGCTCTCCAGTTCCATCCATGCTGTTGCAAATGGTAAGGTTTCCTCAGTTGTTAATGCCAATCTCGTTTCTGTGACATTGACTATGAGATAGTATTAAAATGGCTGCGTTTTCTTTTACTTTAACAGAAAAGTAGCAGTTCTGAATCGTTAAGTGACAAGGGTTCTGAATTGAAGAAAAGCTTTGATGCCGTGGTATTTGATATTCTTAAGGTTACACCAGAAGAATATGCGGTAAGCCTTCCCCCTCCTTGCTCCAGTTTTTGCACATAGTTTATATGTTGGTGCTATTGAGTTAGAATTTATAGGATCGGCGGAGGTCCTGATAAAAGTAAATAAACAAAGCTGGGGGTGGGAATTAAAAGGGAGAATAGCCCAAGGATGGAGCAAGCAGAGGGATGAAATGGGGAAGGTAAGAAGAGCTGTAGATATTTTTAGAGCAGCACATAAACTTTTGTTTAGCTTGGTAAGTAATAAGTATTTTACCTTCATGGTAATTGCTTTCGTGGTCCCTACTTGTACCACCTCCCCAAGCCAACTGTACTTTATTGACAGGTTAGGGGTATTTTTACTTTTTGGAAATTAAAAAATTGAGAAATGAAAGTTGAAGGCATTACTGCAATATTATAAAAACTACCCAGAAAAAGTTTTATTTCTTAAATGACATAAATGTTTATTTATATTCTCTTTCTCCTTTAACTTATTAACAGAATATAATGATTTCCTGATATTGAACACTGCTCCATGAACCAGTAGATCTGATTTTGGTTTTGATTTTGATTTCAAGTATAACTGTGTTCAAATTTTTCAAAATTATTTTTATTTTCTAACTTTACCTCATTTGTCGCACAAGAAAATATGAATCGGTATGAAATAATTAGAAATACATTTATTTAATGGTACTAGGACTAAATTTTCATTTTTTTTAAAGACTTGGTTATTCAATATATTTTAGTATAGAATTTCACTTTTATTTAGAATATATGTCATTATCATGGAATTCCAAAGAAGAAATTGTCTTTTGTTTTACTTTTTATTTCAGGGTCAAATAACACTAATGGATGTCCCAGTATTTAAAGCCATTCAACCAGATGTGAGTACTTTTAAAGAACTTTTCTTTTAAATATACAAAATAGTCAATTATAGAATGCCAAATTAAGAAGTTTTAGAATTGTCAAAGTATGCTTCCTAAATTGTAAACGTTTAAAGCTCTTGATGTTACTTGTCTGTTTATTGGTCAGGCCTCAGAAACTCATGTGGCGTTCACAGCTATACATCACTCAGTCATAGGTAGTACTATAAGAGTCATTTTGGTCAATTTGGCTTTTTCGCTTTAGTGAAGGGGGAAAATAGACTTCAAGAGGTTGTATGATTTACCCAAGGCTTTGAAGCTTTTTAATGTGAGAATGAGAATAAGACACAGTTTCACAACTTACTCCAGTTGTCTTTTCCCTTATACCGTTATTTTATAACTTTATAATGTGACATTATGTTGGCATATTTGAGGGAAGAGAGAGAATCAAAAAAGGCACTTTTGTTTTGTATTTTTAAAGAAGGAGACTAACATTTATTATGCATCTACCCACTGTAAGTAAGCCACTTCTGCTTACATAGGGGAACTACCAGTATTACTGGAGTGAGTTGTGAAACCCAGGGCAAAGGCCAGCGAGCTACGGTGAGTTTATAGTGGGCAGATAGCAGAAGGTGAGCAGTCGAGGAAGGGCTAGATGGTATGCCACCTCGAAAACCATCACTCATAATCACCAAGATTACATGACATTTGGCAGCATAAACTGGACTTTGTCATCTGGCAGAAAAATGTTTTCTAGTTTATCGTGAAATATTTAACATAAGACATAAAGAATAGTAAGATGGACTCCTGTGTACCTACCCAACCCGTACTGTTGAAGCCGCGCTGCATTCTCCTACATTCACCTCCTCTCTTCCCTCCTCCCACCAGGGCCGCCACTATCCAGTGCAGATCTGTGTCATTCCTGTGCATTTAATATATTTTTCCTGCAAGCACATATATCCCTTAGCAATATGTGCTATTGCAGGTTTTACATTCTCTCTGTAGGTGGAATCCTATTTTTGTCGTCTTTAGGATGCTTCGAATGCTCAGTACTGCTGAGGAGCAGCCATGTTGATACCTGCACTCTGAGCACAGTAGTTACTGAGTTGTAGAGCATAAGCATCTGCGACTTGTTTTCCAAAATGTTGGGTTAGATACTGGTTATTTTGTCAAAAACCATTGCTACGGAATAATTTGACAAAATATTGCTTAAGCCATGATGTCAGCCAGTCTAATGAATTCATCTTACTTAGTAGCATAAAATGGTATCTACCTCATTATGTAGTTAGAATATTAGCTTCATTTAAAGTATGAAGGAATTCTTTTAAAAATTAAGGAATTCTTTTTGTTAAAATTTAGCAAAATACTATGAAAAGATAGTGGTTATCACTGAAACTAGTAAGTTTATCTTTGTTTTTGTCCACTATACCAAGTCTCAGTACTTATAAAAAACTTTAAAAGCTGTGTTTTTGTGTTTTGTGTGTGTACTTTATGAAACTGTAAAATCTTTAGTGAAGTTACACCAGAACTATTTAAATTAAAGCTTATTATTATGTTTATATAATCATATGTACCTTTATTGCTAGTGATGATTTATTCACATTTTCTGAAACTAAAAGTGTACTAAAGTTGAACTTTGAGGATGAGAGTCTGAACCCTGTGTGGCTTAGTGATTTTATTGGCAGGCTGGTGATTAAACCACACAGGTCTCAGTTACCTATACTAGAGACCATTTCCGTTTATTAAAATAGATCTCTCCTATTGCTAATTGAGTGCCCTACATAGGGCCCTGTAATTCCCATCAGTTTGTGGAATTCCTGTCTGTATTCCCCGGGCTTCCATGTCAAGCAGAATTTAGCTCATTTTTCCGCCTAACCTTGTTGACCTGTAGGAAGGAAGGGGCAACTACAGAAGTTCAGTCACTTTCTAGTGAAGCTGCTTATTGATCACTTCTGACGTTCCATGTACTTCAGAATTGCTCAGGGGAAAAGAAAAGTTCCAAACCTTTAATTTCACTGTAGGAACTACCTGCCTTATCTTTGAAATGTGAAAACTTATTTTTTATTATGTAGGGACTGTCTTTACTCATTGAAACTATATATAATCAAAATCATGTCTTTAAGAGCAGATCTGAATCAAACATAATGCTAATCTGGTTTCTCTCCAACCCTTTATCACGCTTGAAATTAACTCAGATTGAAGGAAGACAAAAGGACAGATTTTTGTTGTCGTTAATCCTCGCCTGAGGATATTTTTTCTATTGATTTTTTTAGAGAGAGGGGAAGGGAGAGAGAGAGACAGAGGGGGAAAGAAACATCGGATGCGAGAGAGACACATCAATTGGTTGTCTCCCGTATGCGCCCTGCAACTGAAGTTCGTGCCCTTGACCAGAGTCAAACATGCAACCCTTCAGTCTGAGGGCAGACACTCTAACCCCTGAAACCGGCTAGGGCAAAGGAACAGATTTTGATACTTGGCTTCTTGGGTTTTTTTGTTTGTTTGTTTCATGGTAGGGAAAAAATACGTTTACCAATAAAAAGAATTTAATATTAAAGGAAAGTTCACCGGTAATTTTCAAAAATACTTAATAGGAATATCATTACACAGAAAAAGTGTTTGCTTTGGTATTACTTTTTAAGGTTCTCTGTCTGAGAGATTTGTACCATCTTCCCATTTTTCATTCCAATTAGAAACCTCCAAATCATTCTTTTTCCTTCTCCCTTTATCCTGTTTTCCCTGTTCTCCAATATTGCCAATTGATTTTACCTCCTAAATAATTTTTCCCCTTCTACTTCCCTATCAAGTCTGAAGGACATTTATTAAGAGTACAATGTTTTTACAAGGCTGCAACTCATTGTCTCTAGAAATATGAGCATCCCTCCGTGTCTGGATGTTGTTAGGCCTGAGACAGCTCAGTGGGTCATCTGTTTACCAGTGGATCCCTCTCCACCTGAGCACATGGCCTGCTGATCCCATAGCTCGTGCTACAGAAATCCTAAGAATCTTCACTTGCCCACTAGCCCCAGCAGCATGGCCAACTTTGGAAGCTTCTATAGATAGCCATCTCCCTTACATGAAACCTTCTTTACCCGATTCTCTTCTCCTCCCAATAAGTAGCCATCTCTTAGTGATGGGGAGGACACTCAGTAATATTCTGTGGAAACAGGAGGGGTTTTCTTCCTGCCCACAATTCAGAACACTTTCAGGTTTCTTCCCTAGTGTGAGTTATTCAAGACTTAGTAAGGCAGAAGTTTAACTTAATGGTTCTGGACATTCATTAATTTGTAGAATAAATGTTTGGGTATTTAGCCGAAGCTCAACTGTTGTTCAGCTTTCCCCACATTTCTTATAGGTGTAGATTTCCCCAGTGTGATTTCTGTTTTGATCATGCTGGCTTGTTTTCTTGCAGAAAGCTCTTACCCCTTTAGACGGCTTCCCTCCTGTGTGAGTCCTTCCATGCTGAGGAAGCAGTGACTGTATGCTGAAGGTTTTTCCATGTTTATTGCATTCATAGGGGTGTTTTTTGGTCAGTTATGACCTCTGATGCTCTCTAAAGCTTGCGTTTCTGCTGAAGGCATTGCCATGTGAACTACAGCAGAATGAGCATTATGTCATTCATCACGGTGAGTGATGACAGGAACCTGCGTGCAGCTAGGTTTCCTCTTCAGGAGGATTTCTGTGGTGCTTTTGTAAGTCTTAAGGCAGGAGGGAAGAGTGCGTTCGTCATTACATTAGATAATGTCTGCCTCTCTGAGGTTCTCAAGTATTCCTGAAGTGTCAGGCTCTGATTGAAAGTCCTCTGACTTGTATTCCATTCAGAGAAAAAGCCCACACTTTACTTGTTCTGGACGTCAGTACAATAAGGCATGTAGATTGTCAGCAAATAGACATTAAATACAAAGGATCGATAAGCCCCTCTTGTAAAACGGGTGCACTAGAGAGTGAGGAAGAATGCTGGTTAAAATGAGGGTAAGTACATAGTAGGAAATTCTGAATCTTAAACCATTGTTTAAAGACTTTCAATTGAGATATTCCTGACAGTATGTAGAAAGAGCTTTCCCTCTGCAGACTTTCTTGTGTATGCAAAGCGACTGTCATCATATATATATATATATATATATATATATATACACACACACACATTATATTAAATATACTTTTGTTGATTTTAGAGAGGAAGGCAGAGGGAGAGATAGAAACATCAATGATGAGAGAGAATTATTGATTGGCTGACTCCTGCATACCCCACACTGGGGATCGAGCCCGCAACCTGGGTATGTGCCCTTGACCGGAATTGAACCATGACCTCGATGATCAACCACTGAGCCATGCTAGCTGGGCAGAAGTGATTTTTATTTTACATATTACATTGGAGTTATATAATTTGAGGAAGAATGCTAGTTTCAAAGCTATTCTGTTGATTAAAAATACAGGAATCATAGTGAGGACTTTATCTGTGGCTGAGACACCTTTCTAAATAGCCATGTAGGTGAATGCTAATGGATGTACTCTATCTACCCCTTTAAAGCTTCCCACTTTTGAGCCAGTGTACCTCGGCAGATGTTATCATCTTGTGAGGATCCCCGGGCCCCTGGAGTCTTTACAAATTCCATCACTTTTTCTGTTCTTCCTCCGTCTTTGTCTACATGCTGGTCTATATTGGCCTTTTCTCTTCTTCTATCTTTAGGTATCCCTACAACATCACCCTTAGAGCAGTCCTTTTAAGAGTGTTGGAACCTACAGGATGAAAGTTAGATCAAGAATTTGACTTTACAGAACAAACCTACAAGACATAAGAGAAGCTGTGGCTCCTGTGAAATTCAGTAATTCTTTCACAGGGTAGGTGGTCCTCAGTTGTGGTGTTTGCCTTCCCACATGCTTCCAAAGTAAATGCAGTTGAAAATCGGGCTTAACAATTTCATGGCTCAAAATGATACTTGAACAGATGAGTCCGTGAATACTCTTTCAATTACACTTTTAATGACCATTAAGAAATTGCTTTTCTATATGAGGGTTACTAA